CATGCCCCCCACAATCCCCAAAAGTTACTTAGCGGATTTGAGCCGTACTCAGCAAGCCTCCGACTCAGATTAGAAAAAGAATCAGTGGATGGCTGTTCTTTGACAGGTGGCAGACTGCCGACCGCTTGGCCCTACTGGTCGGCTGCAAAACAGTCGGTGGTCAAGGTCGGCGGTCAGCAGGTATGCAACTCTGAATAATACCAACAAAAAACAGGCGAAGGCTTCCAGGTGCTAAGAACAGCCATTCTCATTTTGCAAATCTTACGAACAAAAACTAACATGAACTTTGCTACTACCTTGCTAATTTTGTGAAATCGGTTTCACATGGGCCTACCAGGTCCTACCAGGCTCTGATCTAGAGAGTTCTACATGTCTATCTCCTACACAACTCGGGACAGCTAACAGCATCTCCACATACAAGTCCCGGGTTCGAATCTGTCCAGCAGCAAACATGAAAAAAACAAAAATAGAAATGGTCTGTGTTTACCTCACACTTGAGCCAGTTTTCAGGCTCCATAGGAGAAGGATGCACACTCCCTCAGCCTTTGAACCGCAATGGCAACTATGGCATCAGCTTGAATCATAGAACACAGTGTAAGTTGTCAAATACGGCAACACGTCAATCAATTACAACAGCCCATCTGGTTTTCCCCCAATCACCTCCAATACCTCCCAAGGTCCACACCACTTTGGCAGCAGTTCCTTGGACATTCTTTCTTCCAGGGAGAATGCATACATGCTTAACAAGACAAGTTCGCCCTCTCAGAATACAGGCGGTCTGTCTGTCTGCCAGGTCAACAGCCATAGACTCCTGCACTTTCTGCATATTCTTGATGGCCTGTCACAGGTGGTCTGTGAGCTGCTTTGTGTATTCCTTTTTTGCTGGTGCATCTGGGTTTGAACTCAGATCGCTATACCAACACAGATTCAACTATTCATGGGTTTACCAACTGAGCTTCCAGTTGGTTGCTCTTTACTATTCCAGAGTTCTAGGGTGATACTTCTGGTGCTGCAATCCGGGAAGCAGAAAGTCAACTAGCGCGTCCTTCAGGACTTCTGTTACATTTGGAGCGATGCAGAGAAGATTAGCATGGCCCCTGCACAAGGATGACACACACAAATCGAGAGAGAAAAAACAAAAAGAAAGTCAACAGCGTCCTTGCTGTAGCCAGGTGCACTGACGAGTTGTAGACGCTTGCCATTTTTGCCAGTTTGTGATCCCAGTCGACCTCATTAGGCATGATCAGATGGTGCAGCACCTGCTGGACCGTACGGTGGAAGGGGGGCTGTAAGCGGGGAAAAAGGGGGGTGGAAGTGGGGGTGGAAGGGGGGATGGAAGCGGGGGTGGAAGGGGGCTGGAAGGGGATTGGAACTGGGAAGGGGAGTGGGCTTGCTACAAGATACAAGAGAGGGGAGATTCCCGTCTAGAAGTCGGGATCGATGATCCGAAGCATAGTTTTCACCTTAAAAGCTGACAAAATTTCACGAAAACATATTGGCAAAATGATGGCAATATCAAACTCAATTCTTAAAAAGAGGAAATGGCCGGCCACGAGGTTTGGAAAGGTGAGTAACCAAATCGTACCAGCTTCCGAACACCACCACCCCTAGAGACAGTGGTGACTGTCTTCCCTTTCTCATGCACATGGTTCTCCTCTTTGACCTCAAAACCATTGCCTGCTATTATGTTTTCTGTGGCCACAGCTTCCACTGGGTCAATTGAAACGCATTCCGGAAATCCTGGTGGCGCTGACAAATCTGCCTCCTCCTTCTCATCTGGTTCAACCATCTTAGTAATGACAGATTCTTCGTGAAGCTGGCTTGCTGGACTGTTGACTTCAGCATTACTCCTCGAACACGCTATCACCCTCGCAATGCCAGTCTCATCACTGCATCCCAATCTTGGCACTCTGGAAACCCTCGCACAAATGGAGGCATCATTGCCGTCATGAAGCCTTGCTCCCTTTGCACCCCTCACCACTGTATTAAACTGTGCAATCGCGCTATCGCTCCCTTCTCGTTGCGGTCCCGTTCTTGTTCCTTTCTTGGGTTTTGAGGACCATTCAGATCGTTGCCTTGATGGTGCGCCTTGTTCATCAGGCTCAGCTACTCCACCCTCTCTCCCACTCCTCTCCAACAGCATGCCATCTACTTCACCGGCATTTGGCTCAGCCACTACTTTGTCGCATGCATCCTTACACGAGTTTCCATGACTGTGTTCACCACCACTTTCTGTGCCACTGAAGCTAAGACTGCAATCTGTTTCACAGGCAGTCTGCAATTTGTTCTGGCTTTTGCCGACACCAACTGACAACTCCAGCTCCTGTGAACAACATGCACCAGTCATCTCACTGGTCCTCTGTGAATGTGGCTGTGAGTGCTTTCTGTGTCCACACAGGGTACCTGCATCCATCAGATCCTCTGAACAGGAAGTCGCAGCATCATCACTCTGACAGTCACCAGTTTTGACCCTCTGTTCTCTATGGATAAGGGTCAGCTGAGTGTTTGAGAAGTTGATCTTTCCATTTTGTGAAGGTGCTCCTAGAGATGCAACGCTTCTTGACAGCTGGTCTAGCTCACTAGCCGGCACTTCCATCACATCACTCTCATCCTCCTCATGTTCATGATGAGCTTCTCCATCCAAGGGTGGGCAGACCAGACTCACGGAATGGCTGCTGCTTGAACGAGCTGATACAGATCTGCATCCAGGAATAACATTTTTTTTGCTACTCAAGCCGCTACACTTCAGGAGCCTGAAGAATACTCCACAGCCAAAAAAAAAAAAAAAACAGCTTAAAACTTTAAAACACACAAAAAAATCGTTAGCCAATTTAAGGCAAAAGATTGAAGGAAAAAAAAAACACTCAGCCCATGTGGCTGAATGGTACACACGTGTAACTATTCCTAAAACAGGCGCACGAGTTTGAAATTTGAATCCTGATTGGAATCAATCACAGATGAACACAAAAAAGGTAGTGGCTACCGCTCTTTGAGAGAAAGAAAAATTGATAAAACAAAAACTGGTGAAAAACAATAAAAACCGTTGAATTGCTGGCGTGAGCTGAAAATGGCAGCCATATGGGACACAGAACCAATCAACCGCCTAGATGCTGAATCACAACCAAGGTACTGACAATACTCAAATTATACAGGTACAGACAATACTGACAGTAGCTAGGTACTAACAGCACTGGCAATAGTGAAGTACTGACAATACTGGTGCATTGCAATGAGACCTGTGCACTGCCTGTGATATCGGAGCCAGTTCACAGTATCACCATCTACCAGCAAGGGCTGGACGGACAAATGATATTTGCGAGAACTGTTGGGGCAGCGGGATTTGGACCTGCAACCTGCCCCATTTCTTAAAGTGGGGAGTCTTTTGCTGTTTTTGGTGCTTCGAAGATTCAAACCTAGGACCCCACGGAAACTAACTGCAAGAACTATTGGGACACTGGGATTCAAACCTGCAACCTGCCCTGTTTTTTTTAGTGTCGACTCTGTCGAGTCTCTTGCTGTTTTCACCTGCTGCCAAGATTCGAACGTAGGACATGTACCCGGTAGCCTTAGTCTAGAATGTCTTTCCAGAGCAGGAGGATCTAGATTTTTCCAGTAGGCCTGTGCTGGACAGCAGCTCGTCACATGTGACAAGCCGGGCAGCAGAACCAGCGACTTTTCCTCCCACAAGTTTGCTTGTGTTGGAAGTAGAGAGTAGCGTTATTTTTAGCGCTAATAGCAGGGGGATTGGGCACAGTCATGGCCATGCAGTTCTGGCAATCTACCTCATCATTCTCAGTTCTGTTTGATGCTGTGTAATCAGGGCAGTCCAATATACGATCTGAATTTCTGGACTGTTCTCACGTGAAGTGTGCTAGGCCAAACATTCAAGAGTGCGACTTGGGTTATAGAAGGTGCCATTACCACAGCCTGGCAGCTGCCTCACAAGGTTATTCTAGGAATTATTTCAGAAGAAGTTGCTTGTCGAAAATTTATGAGCTTAGTTTGATACGTCAACTTTCAAAACAAAAGCTGAATTGGAATTAATCGCTGGAGTAAAAGGATTCGAACCTTTGCATGTCGGTATCAAAAACCGATGCCTTTCCACTTGGCTAGACTCCAATGAGATAACGTAACCAACAAACGGCCTCAATGTCTAACTCTTGGACAAATTGCATCAGTTTTTTTTTCCTTATACTTGGCAATTACGCCCTTTCTTGGTAAAATAGAAGCAAAACTTATCAAAAATCATTCTGCATCATGGCTGTGCCGGCAACCGGCCGGTTGGACCCTTAAAACGGATTTGAACCTTTGCATGTCGGTATGAAAAACCGATGCCTTTCCACTTGGCTATACTCCAATGAGATAACGTGACCAACAAACGGCCTCAATGTCTGACTATGGACAAATTGCATCAGTTTTTTTTTTTTTTTTTTTTTACTTGGCAATTACGCCTTTTCTTGGTAAACTAGAAGCAAAACTTATCGAAAATCATTGTGCATCATGGCTGTGCCGGCAACCGGCCGGTTGGACCCCCGGTGGTCCAACTTGAATTCCGGTTGGGCCCAAAAGGGAGTCAATTTTTTTTATTTTTTTTGAACAGATTGCTCCCCGTGATCTCCCGAAATCCGCAAAGAAAACTTTGAACAGAGAAGTTATGTTTGGGGGGTTGAGGGGGGGGAGGGGGCATTTCAGGGGTAGGGGCTTTATGGTGAGTGTGTTAGTGGTGGGGTTTCAGCAGACATTGACAACAACGTACCTGGCTTCCTGCAAACGTTAACCTTCCGCCCAAAAACTTTGAAAAGGGGGCTGGGGGTGTTAGTGGCAGGGTAGGGACGGTACTTCCCACCCAAAAACTTTGTAAAGGGGGGTGGGGGTGATAGTGTTAGGGGGTGCTTGTCACTGCTGTCTGGTCCAAGTTGCCCTCGATACTGGTACGGCGATGGTTCTGAGTGCTGGTGTTACATGCCCAGACGGGCGATGTACATAATAACTGAGGATCCGCAATGTGATAAAAAGGACTGAATGGACAATGCTGTGCAAGTGGAATCTCAACTAGCAATGTGCATTCCGATACATACAAAATGGTGTTGAATAGCGCAGGGAAGATTTAGATACAAGATCTGACCTGACCGAGACTGACCTTTATCACGTAGTACAAGATAGCAAAGCAGAATGCTAGAATACTGATGACTAGCCCAATCAATGTTTCAACGTAGACCAAACACACATCATGCTCATCACAAGGTGTGAGGGAGCCTGGCACTATACACAGAGAGGAAGCGCCAGGTCCAGACATACACAGACGAAGAGGAGGGGATCAGACGAAGAAGAGGGGGAGAGATGGGAATGTTGTTGACACCAAGTCTTTGTCACCAGTCCCAAATAATCCCTCATTGAAACGTCTGAATCCCAAAAGTCGAGTCTGGATCCAATGTCACCAAGCTCTCTCTCTCTCGTTCTCTCGTAGTCTGCTGATGCAGTGAAGTCAGATAATGAGAGGGTGAGAGGAAGATGGTGGACTGAGAAGAGGAAGAAGAAGAACTCTCTCTCTCTCTCTCTCATGAACCAGGTACTAACCTGTGAAGTTGGCGCTGTGCTGCAGGTACCTCGAAGACGAAGCTGGAGCAACGGCGCTGCAGGCAGGTACCCCTGGCCTCCGCCCAATCTCTCTCTCTCTAGTACTATCCTAGCTATGGCGCCCAGCGCTGAAGACTACGGCTACGAACCGGCGCCCAGCGCTGAAGACTAAGGCTAACGCTACTACTTCTCCTGCAGCGCTCCCTCCAGAGTGCTGCTGCCGAATCCTGAAGACTACTGCCTCCTGCCTACCCGTGAAGTGCATGGGACGTCCCTATGTACTATCTCCGCCTGCCTCCTGACTGCCTGCAGGCGAGCCAGGCCGAGGAGGCTGCTCTTCCCAATGCCGAAGTGTGCCAGGGACTGGAGCTGCAGCATCTGCTGAGGCTGTCGTGGGAACAGGCTAAGAATAGCCTGTTCCCGAGACCCTGGTTCGGTGCCTGAGTTTCAGGGCCGGTCGTTCTGATGAACGACCGAAAATGGCCCTTCGTTTCAGGCTAAAAAGGCTATTGCCATTTTTAGTCTGAAACGACACAGGGTCTGCAGGCCCCTGTATTTCAGGCTTTCGAGCTGAACAGACACGGAAACTGTAGGCCCTGGTTTTCAGGCTTTCAGCCTGAGGGACGCAGGGCCTGGAAAATGGCCCTCGTGTGCAGGCGCAGCATGTAACACCCCCCCCTCCTTATGAAGTCAAGCCGGGCCGGGGGCGAAGCTGACGGTCTGAAGGTGGAACAGGAACGCGGGTGCGGCCTGGAGCCGAAGATACCGGCTTGCCTTGCATCTTGCGTTCGTAGCGTGCGAGAACGTCTGGAGCTGCCGTTTGCAGTTCCGCATGGTTCAACCAACGGTCAGCTCTGTGGCTGCAGTATGCTAAATGGACCAGATACTCAGTCGGCCTGTTGCCGTAGCGGCGCTGGGAAATGATATCGCTGACCTCTTGAAAACCGTCCATAGAGGGTGGTAGCGTGCGAGAACGTCTGGAGCTGTCGTTTGCAGTTCCGCACGGTTCAACCAACGGTCAGCTCTGTGGCTGCAGTATGCAAAATGGACCAGATACTCASTCGGCCTGTTGCSGTAGCGRCGCTGGGAAATGATATCGCTGACCTCTTGAAAACCGTCCATAGAGGGTGGGTCTTGCGATCGTCGCCCGGGAAAATCGTCATGGTCTGCTGGCGTGTACACAGCCAGCTTGGAGCAATGAAAGACCGGGTAGACGGGCAAGTGGGCGGGCAACTGAATGGTGAAGGAAGGTCCTTCAGGTGCATCTCCAGGGGGTGCCACGATCGGCCAGAGCCCCATCCATTTCGGGAGGAGCTTGCGAGAGATGTCTTGTTCAAGGCTGAATTCCGCTGCGGAAACCCAAACGAGGTCGCCGGCGCGGAATGGGCAAGGAAGACGTTGGCGATTGGCCTGCTGGCTCATGCGCTGCTGCGTCTTATCCATCTGGTCGCGTGCCTTGACAAGAAGCTCCTGCATCCGACGCAAGAAAAGAAGATGGTCGTCGCTCTCGGCCATTCGTGGAGTGATAGTGTCCAATGGTAAGGTGACTGGCGAGCCGTGCTCGAACTCGAAGGGCGACATCCCGATAGCCGGGTGGATGGAGGAGTTAAAGGCCAACTCGACATCCGGCAGCCGCTCAACCCAATCCTTCTGGTCACGACGGATGAGAGTGCGAAGGAGAACCTGTGTGGTCTGGTGCACCCTCTCCGTTTAGCCATCGGTCTGGGGGTGGCGAGATGAACTGGGCTTGAGAGATGAGCCCCATCGCTTGATGAGCGCCAACCAAAAATCGGACATGAACCGAGCGTCGCGGTCGCAGACGATTTCCTTGGGGTAACTGTGGCAGACTGCGTAGCCACACGGGCCCTGTAGGACCTGTCCCGGACATTCAGCCTAAAAGCCTAAAACTTAGGAGCTAAAGGCCCCGGTAGTTTCAGCCTGAAAACTGAAAAACGAGGGCCTGCAGGCCCTACTCCGTTTCAGCCTATTTCTAGGTCTTTCAGACCCAGAGTTTTTCCAGCCTGAAACGGAGGGCTATTCTTAGGCCCTGGGCTATTTTTAGGCCCTGGGCTATTCTTAGCCCCTGGGCTATTTTTAGGCCCTTAGGTGACTTCTCGAACTTGCAGAAGTTGGCAATTTGCTTGCTCGGTCAGGGTTCCTCCTCCTCAGGATGTGAGAGGAATTGGAGCCTTTTTGAACGGATCCACTTCGTCTTGGTCCCCCACCTCCTCCCAGTTCTGCACCATCCCCTCCTCGCCCTCCTGGTCCGCCCCAGCTACCTCATTCATCCTCCTCCGCCATGTCCCTCTCTCCCGCTTGTCCTCTRCGACCTCACCCGCCACCTCATCCTCTTCCGACTCCTCCTCTTCCTCCCACGCATTCTCCACCATCTCCTCCTTCTCTTTGCATCTCTTTTTTTGTAGCCACCTCCTCCTCTCTGGCCACCTCCTCCTTCCAGCCACCCCAATCTGCTCCAACAGCTCGTCCGCCTCCACCTCATTTTCCTCCTGTTCATTCTCGCGGACATTCTCCTCGCCGACACCCTCCTCCTGCTGCCACCTCYTGCCCCACCTCCTCCTCCTCCTCGTCTTCCTCCACCGGCTCCACCTCCGTGATCTGCCCCGCGATCCCACGCTCCTCCTCCAACACCTCCTCCTTCTCGCGCTCCTCCGCCATCTCCACCTCCTGCGGCCACGTCCTCCCAGTCTTCGGTTGTCCTCTTCTCCCCTTTTTGGTCCGCCCCGGCTACCTCACCCTCTTCCAGCACCTTCTCCTCCTGCCCGCTCAACTCTCAACGGAGCATCACATTACACTCCCTCCATTGCCAGCATTCTCCTCCCTCCTCCCTACTCCTCCCTTCTCCTCCCTCCTCCTCTCCCTCCATCCTCCGGCCTCGTCCGTCCATCGTCATAGTCCTCAGCTCTYGATCTTCCCTCCTTCTACATCATCATCGCCCTCCTTCCCCGTCCTCCCTCCATCCTCCCTTCTCCTCCACCCGTCGATATTGTCCTCCTCCGAGTCCTCCCTCCTCCGTCTCCATCCTCCGTTCTCCATTCTCACTCCTCCTCCCTCCTCCTCCTCCCTCCTCCTCTCTCCTCCTGCTCCCTCGTCCCTCCTCCTCCGTACTCCCTCCTCCCTCCTCCTCACCCTCTCTCTCTTCCCCACCCTCCTCCTCCCTCCATCTATCGTCAATGGCCTCCTTCCACCTCCCTCCTCTTCCTCCCTCCATCCTCAGAGTTCCTACATTGTCGCCATCGATTCCCCCAGCAACACACGCTGATGCCGTCTCATTTTTCTTTC